AGGCTGCTAAAGGATGGCAAGTTAGCCGATTCTGCGAACCGAGCAAAAGCGACCTTTGGTGAAGCAGGCGCTCGGGTACTTGATTCAATGTCATCAGTTCGGGAGAGCATCAATGCTGCTGGATGTGGGTATGGAGAAATCGACGGTGCAGACGAGCTAGGTGATGAGGACTTCGCAGTGTGATCTAAGGGCGTATCCCCACAGCAAGAGAGTAATTTCTTGGTCCCAGTTGAAGTAGTGGAAAGTAAAACATTGGACTTAAAAAGCCGCTGATTTGCTCGAGGGAGACGCCGATTGCGATTTCTTGTGGGACGTTTCTTAAGTAACTCCGAATTTTTATTCTTGATAGGAGATGGGGAAGCGGCAACAAAAGAAACTGGCGAGGGAGCAATTGCTTTATTGGTATCTAGTGATGGAGATGGAAAAGGTGACGAAGAAAGCGATAGAGGTCGGCTTTTCCTATCAAATAAAGAGATCCTCTCATCAGGAGAAAGACGACTAAATTGCTGAGGACTGGATTTTGGTTCAGCATCGAGGATACGACCGGTGCCATCGAGACCGTCACTAGGCCCGACGCCGAATAGAGGACCAATTAATTTGGCTTGTGATAAGCTAGGGGGAAAAGCAGATGCGAAAGCAGGAGCGACCGGAATGGGGCTGGACGGTGGAGGAGGCAATTTGATTCCACCGGTTAAGAGAATATCGGAAAACCTGTTCATAAAAAAGAAAAAAAATTAGCATTATATCTACAGAATAAAAGATCTTGAATCGACGTTCTTTTTGATATGAAAAGTCAATCACGATAAAGTTGACAACAACTTTTTACAAGGTTAGAATTCAAAAAAATTAATCACGTTTGCAAAAAAACATTATCGGATGTCATAAAACTTAGTATTATTATTGTCAACAAAATCAGAAGTGATCAAACATAATTTTAAAAGAAATCTTATTAAGCATACTTAATACCATTTCATGTCGTATATTTGATCTTAAAGCATCGGTCTGTTGATTGAGAACATCTCCAAACGTTTACTTGGCCCCACCGGCAATAGCACCGGAATGGCACAGAGATACAATGCATCAATGACACATTGAAAACACTTAATCAGCAATCTGTTGAATTATTAAGGAAATTATATTTCATACAGGCCCAGCACATTATCAATACAAAAATGTATAAAAGAAGGTATGAAGACCAAGATGGTGTGGCCCTTTGTGTGGTCGCAATCGCATTTCGTTGTATAGAGGTTGTTTGACCTTGTTTTCGCATCTTGGTCATATTGGTAAGAAGACTCAGACGAATGCAACTAGTCCGA